TTTGTTACTGGTTGGAATGTCGTCCCAGTGGTTTTAGCATAATGTGAGGATACGTTTTTGAGCTACAATTTATCAAGTCTTTCGTGATGATTTTAGTTTTCAAGAAGGTATTAATTGTTTTTATACTGGGATGAGAGTCCAACTTCTTTAATTCGAAAGAGAATCCCCGTTTTTCATATGAAATGATAACCAGATGACATTTTTTTAAATGTCCCATGTATCAATAAATCGAAATTCGAAGAAGTATTTTTCAAGTTATTTAACTTTGTGTTCCAAACTATCAACGATAATAGGATTAAAAGATATAGGAGCTATGGTGATATGAAAATTATAATAATTAATATTAATGTATCAATATTTTGTAACTTGTAAAAAAATGTCTGAATAAGTAGGTAGGTACCTGAGTTGGTAGGTGCCTAACCTACCTAATAAATACTGGACTCAATTTGATATTTTTAAGAACTATTATCGTTTGTGTAGCCGTGTAGGTACAGTAAGTGTGGGCCGGAGGCCCAACCTATGTATAACATTTATTATTTCGGTGACTAAACGACACAGGAACTAGTAGCCAGTATTGTGATAAACAGTTCCCAACAGGGGGGGGGGGTATTGAAGGTATATGATGGTATATCTATAATAATGTATCTACAAACAATAGTAAAATTAATGACTCATGTTTCAAACACTTAAAGGTAACTTGAATATTGATTTTGATGCATCAACATTATCCACAAAACCATCTTCATCACGGCTTATAAAAAATAAGATGGTTCTTGTATGGAAAATAAGTTTGTTTCGGAAAGAATATACAAATTTAAATAATTAAAAATATAGTCCTTGTGTATAAAATACTAAACAATACTAATTCCAAAAAAAAATCAGAATTTTAATTAATTCATATTAAATGAAAATACCCTTAGAACTTGCTTAGCTGTATAATAATATAATATGTTAAGTGTACCTCGTAATTAAGTAGGCCACTGTAGTGGATGAATTAAATAGTATTCAATGATATAGTATATTAAAATCGATTTTGAACGAAGATCGTATTACCGTATTTCCCAATTTGTTCCTATAATTTTATTAGGTATATAATGTATTTAATGTCTGCAAATATAATGTGAAATATCATTAATCAGTAATTGTGTATCGTTTAAACGACAAACCAACAGAACAACAAAACGCTTTTGTAATAATTTTGGATGGAAATATAGAGCATTTCTTTTACATTGATTTCAGAAATTTTTCGTTTGATATTACTACTTACGGCTTGACTTTCAATTGTAGAATCTGGTAAATAGGTTATGCACCTAGGTACCTACCAAGAATGATTTTTATTGTAGAGTAACCTGACCTAACCAGTGCTTCCAAGCATGAAAAAAATATGACATGATTAAGAATAAACTCAAAGTTAATCCTTATTGTGTATAATATGGCAATAAGTTATAATAACTAAGCAAATAAAAAAATGCTCTGAAAATCAACAAAAATTTTGTTTGGTGTCAAGGCGGTTTTATGCAGTTTAGTCGAACGTTAAGACCATTCCGGTGCGCGGCCGATGGAACGACCACATGATGCACAGTGGAGCAGTTAGTATTTGTTCAGGGTTTATACATTACGTAATTTAATACGCGTCAGTAATCTGGCTGTGCCAGAGTCCACCATACGGCGGTTGATACGCCGACTACCGCGAGCGCCCGACAGTAATCCCCGTGAGTTTGGTTGTATATATATTAGCTCATCGGTTCCAGAAATAACTAATTAGAGCTAGCCACAGAATTACTATCTTTAACCACTACGGTGACAGCCGCCTGGAAGACCGCGCTCTGGCGGTGGCGCACTGGCCTTCTCACGACTGATCAGGCTTCCCAGTAGAGGGCAATTCCCTTACCATGGATGGACATTGGACATTATAATAGATATTTTGATACCGGATGTTCTTAAGAAGTTTTATATAAGCAATTTTCAATGTACTCGCACATATATCGTGTACCTAAGTGATCTAAAGTGTGAAAGAAAAATGAAAATCAAAAATACAGAAAACCGGTCTTCTAAGTCAAATGGAAACTACAGTCTGTTGAAAACAAAGATATTAAAGATTATTATTAATATCTATGGGTAGAGAGCATAAGCCATGGACTAAGATATAATGGACTGGTATAGACTACCTTATCAGTGGCCCTCAAATGTTTCTAAAGCCGCCTTAAGGTACAACTATGGGTAAAAGCGCCATCTGTACATGTGTTATAAGAACGCAATGATCAAAATAACTAATAACATTATTAATAATTATGAAAACATTAAAAATCAAAATAATATACTCATTGCATGGCAAATATAGTATTGTATTTAATATTCATAATATCCGTGAATTTTTGTGACCAAAATTTGTTCAAAATAGTAAACATCTAAATATTCAATATTAGTAACTTTATTTGTTACTAGGAGCGCTTTACCACAAGTTGTACCTTACGGTGGACTATTATGATGGGGGAGTGGCGGTGTTGAAACATTAGAGGGCCATATTCATCTACTACCCCCCAACCATCCGATACCAGTCCAGTATATCTTAGTCCGTGGCATAGACACGATTTAAGATATACAGATTATCCATCGGCATATGATAAGGTGAGTACCAAGTTGAGTTCTTCATGGTGCTGGAAATTATAGCAAGCGCTCTCTGTGAGAGAAAAATAAATTACCGTGTCGCAGCCGGCTGCCTGCTGAATTTAAATTTTCTATTTTAAATGTTGTAATTCTTTTTATCAATTTAATTTAACAATTTTATATTATTTTCCAAACATTTTATTGAAGTCTGCTTTCAATCTGTATAAGTTTAACAGTACTTTAATATTATGATGTGGGTTATATAGATTTTATTGTTTTATTATAAAAATCAAGCTGTAATACAACCAATACAATTATGAGTCCTGATTAAACTTAGCAGTTAAGACATACGATAAACCAAATTCTTCCAAAAGATATTCTACTAAATATACTCAGTACTAGATACCCATGTCCTAATAATATTCTCTCCCTTGAAATGCTTTTGGCAAATACGAAAATATTCATTTAATTTCATACCTAGTGGATTTTCCCAAAAATTTAAAGACACTTTGGGTATACCAAAAAATTTTTCCACAACTGAGTCATTCTCAACCTCAGACTTTAATCATTTCGGTATAGGCCGAAGAGCAACCTGTATATCTTAAATCGTGAGCATAGATAACAAAGAGAGTGGCCAACTCAATGAACGTTTGCTATTGGACAGCTGTTATCATTGATTATAGACTCCATTAATCGTCTAAATCAAGGGTCGGCAAGTAATTTTTATCGGAGTCCTAAAGATTAAAATAATGATTAATGAGGTTCAGTGAAAAAATCTTTTTCAAATCTTTATATTTTAAAAATATCAGTATGTAAATAATAATGCCGTTTTAAATTTCCACTTTGAATAATAGCGACAATTGTATTTCAAATTAAACAAATTGGAATTTCTCCAACCCTTTCAGGCAATACAAAACAATATTGTTCTGTCCACTCGTTCATAAACTTCCTATTTTCGCTTTCAATTGTGAGTGTTTTAGTCAACATATTGTCATATTGAACGAATAATAAGAGGAAATAATATACATGTTGACAGGGTCCAGAGTTTTGACTTCCGCGGTCCACAAGTTGCCGACCCCTGGTCTAAATACAATTTTTATTCTTACGGTTCACTCATGTTAATGGGTACTTTATGCATTAGTTTGTATGTTGAGATAGTTGAAATTAATTTATTTTAATAATTTTTTACGTTTTTTAATTTTAATTTTTATTATTCTTAACTTTTCTGAAATATAATATCTGTGACAAGTATATATTTTGAAAAGTAAATACATACCACTTTCTTATACTTTCAAGTACTAATATTGTCTTAATGTGCTACTGTTTAAATGTTATGATATTGCATTCTATTGTAAAACATTCTTATTTTTGTATTCTTAACAGTATAATATACACATTATTATGCATAATTATATCATGAAGCATAGTTAGATCAATTCATGCATTTTAAAATTATTACNCCTCTGCCTCTATTATTCCTAGAAGGTTAAAAAGACAATGGCCAAGAGATCTGCTCAATACCTAATTAAAAAAAAAAAATAAAAAAAAAAATAAAAATAATTATGATAAAATGAATTAAAATAAAATTCAAACCGTAATTTCTTGTCAGGTGGCACTGCTGGGAGCCTTCCTTCTCTTTTAATTGTTATTTTTGTTTATTGTTATATTCTTTAAGTCACCACATTTACTTATTATACACTGTATGTATAGATTGTAAATACACTTTTATTTAATAAAAAAAAAAAAAAAAACCACACATATTGTCCATCACTTCATAGTAAAAAACAACCTATAAGTTAAAAGATTAAAGCCAACCAAGTACCAACATTTTATATACATAAAGTTATTTAAGCATACATCATAAGCTGCTTCTAGTCCATTACCTAAGTCAAAACCTATTTTCAGTCATCTGATGTAGACTTAAGCATTTGACCCAAACATTAATGCTAAATAAAAATAATTAATAATTCCCCAGGTAATGGCATCAAGTCCTTGCAAAACTGTTAAATATACAGAGTTCATATTGTATTAACTAAACTAAATATGCATTTTATTTATTGACATTAGCAGTAACAAATTTAAATCCTAAAAAAGAAGTGCTTTATGTCTTGATACAATCATTTGTTAACTATAATAATTAGGCTGTTGTCTGTTGATATATTCTACATTTTAACTACATAGTAATTGAATTATTATCAAATTTGTAACAGTAGACAGTAGTACATTTTATAAACTAAGTTAAAATATTATTATAATGTCGTGCCTATTTAAATGCACGCTTTATTTTAAATATTAACACCGGGAATTATCATTAATATGTTATCACTTATCACTACGATAATCACGGAAGTCAAATTGAGGAACAAATCGCTAGGGGTGCCGCGCGCGTGATAAGGATGCCAAAAATCTGCTGCTGGGAAGCAAGCTCTCGTCTGTCCATTCTCATGTTATCTAATATCTATGTTATCGTTTCGCTTGCTTCTATTGCCCTCAGACTTGGCGACTCATGTAAATAATAATATTGCTATAACATTGCTTTCGCCCGCGAACGGCGCGAACCTAGGTTTAGTTTTTACTTTTTAACCTTAATCGCCTGAGGGCCGTCGTCGTTATTCTTACAATTTATTTTTCCGTTCCCTATTATTACAGATGTAGTGCACATATCTAACTATTTTGTTTATGTCCACAACTTGAGTTCTATACCGAAATACTACGGTGGCCCCGAACGAAGAAATACCAGTCGCGACCCTCAAGTACATAGTTCGCCGATCAACCACCGACGATAATATAAAAGTAAGTTCATTTTCGACAGACGATATAAGTAATAATTTTATTGTTAATAAAACACGGAATTTACAATACCAAATACCATAGTTACATACTACCGATTGAAGTTAAACATAAGATGTTAACCTGTAAATTAACAAATTTTCATAAAACAATTTTCTTATATTGCTGTTATTCCAAAAATAGTTACTGTAGGTACTTGAAGTTCTTCTCAAATGTTTATTTTTTCTATTTGTTCACATTATGAAATTTCAAAATATTTTAACTTTGGGTATTTATAGATTTTGAATTTTTTTAGTTTTTACTCTTAAAGTGTCAATAATATTGGGTCAAAAAAATGATAAAATGTTTAATTTTTATAGCTGAGAATTGAAAATTAAAAATGAGCATTCTCATTAATAGTTCATTCTGCAACCAAAAAATCCAAAAAATATATAAACACATTTAATTTTTATAGATAATTTGAGTTCAAATTTGGACGAAATTACATATTAAAACCAAGATTAACAATTTTAATTATTTTGTTGTAATTTAAAAATATTATTCATAACCTGTAAAAGTTTTACAAATAAATATGTGCAAATGCACACCCTAAAAACCCTTCTTATCACCAAATGAAAGGTTTTACATAGAAAGCACATACTTAGTTATAATGGTTTGTGTTTACAGTAAATAATTGAAAAACAATCAATAACGAGTACATAATTCAATATGGAACCACGAAGAACAACTTATTACTACTGACGATTGAGCTTTGAATTCCAAGTGAGCAAATACATTATAATTAAGGTGGCTTTGCAAAATGTAATTTTAAACTACATTTTGAAAGAATTTTATTTTATACAATTTGTTGTTTTGATAATTTATAAATTATTAAATCTGTGCATTGTATCTAATTTATACCTTACATTAGTAACCTATTAGTATTTCATGAAAAAAAAAAACAAATTCCTTGCAATTTCTGTTTGGTATAATAATATATTACACAAGTCTAGAGTTTTGCCATTCCCACTTAATGTGATAAGTGGTGATTAAGAAATTGAATACAAATATTAAACATGAAATTATTGATGATTAAGTATTTAATGGAATTATTAATGAGGAAATTATTAAAGAAACAGGCAATAACTATGATAGTCAGTTATTTAAAATAGGGTATGAATTAAATTTCATAGTGTAATATTAAATTTGATGATAAAATGTTTTTTTAAGCTTGTGGTATAAAATGTTTAATCTATGAAGAAATATTTTATAAAAATTAGTAGATAAAAAAGTTTTGCAAGTGAATTCTGCTCTACTGTACATAAAATGTCATGTGAGTCACTTTTATGGGTATGTTAAATTTGAATTCAATGATATAAAATCATTGTACCTATTAAAAAAATAAATCTGAGTGTTGACAGTTCATCAGCCTATATTACTAAGTTATATGATGTTGTTTCTATTAAAGTTATTTATTTTCTTCTTCCTAAAGTAGTTTGTTGGATTAATTTTTTCTTAAAAGTATGCATTTGAAATGTAATTTTGTATTTTTATGTATGTATTATGATAATAATATAATATACTTTAATAGTTTCAAGGAAATCCCAAAATTTATTTTTATTTTAATAACAACAAAATAACTGATATATTCATTGATTAAATAATCAATTTTGTCCAAATTTGAACTTTAAGTATCTTTTTAAAAAAAACCTGTGATTTTGGATTTTATTGATTTTTTGGCCTTGATATGATATATTTATGAGAAACCATGTTTTTAAATTTTCAATTATTGGCTATACAAATTGAACATTGAATACATTTTTAACTTCAGAATTTTCAAATTTTTTCGATTTTATCTAAATAATATTGCGTTTGCCTTTAAATTGCTCAAAAAGAGTCAAAATATTTTGATGTAAATCTTATGGATTATAAAAAAAGCTAACACAAATATTTGATGAAAGTTTTAAGTATAATTAATCGATTTTTAAATACACCAAAACAAGAAAATCTGTAAAATTACCCAAACAGGCTTTAATGTTAAGTAATAATAAAAACTTTCCATGAAAAATAACTTTCCTATAAACTTATCTCCTTGTTAAATTTAAACAAACTGATGAAGAATATAGTAGTGTTACATTTTTTAATATTAGATATAAAAATACAATTTCTATGAATTTCTAATTCAAAATAATTTTAAATTTAAGTTTTACTAATATCCACTTAGAAGCAACTTTATATTCAATTTTCAACTTTGCATAAAAACCGAACAATCAGTTTTTCATTATCAATCAAGAAAAAAAATTAACAAGTCATTAAAATCTACATGATATGTAGTTCTATTTATTTTCTTTTATTTGATTTTGTGAATATTTATTAAAATACCTAATTTTATTGTTTCAGAACTAAAACTGAATAAAAGGGAAACAATTGTTACAGAAATAAAAATTGAAGTGGATTTTATTGACTGTTATGAATTTAAATCAACACTTAAACAAAAGCAGCTCTTCAGACGAGACATCTAACTGCTTGAAGAAAAATCAGAAAATTCATTGACTGATATGTGTGATAAAATGTCTACAGCATTCTAATTTCACTGTGCATCAAGGTTTTTCTCAACCATGTACTTTAAAAAATCATAAAAAAACACATATTGTTGAAATGCCGTATACATGTGATATCTGTGGTAAATCCTTTTCTAAAGAACAACATTTAACAAATCATAGAAGGATTCATACAGGAAAAAAGCCATTTAAATGTGATTTATGTGATCAAGCTTTTTCTCAAGCATGTACTTTGAAAATCCATATAATGAAACATACAGGAGAAAAGCCTTATAAATGTGATATCTGTGATAAAGGGTGTTCTACATCATCAGATTTAACAAAGCATAAAAGAACACATACCGGAGAAAAACCGTATAAATGTGATATATGTGATCAAGCTTTTTCTCAAGCATATACTTTGAAAATCCATATAATGAAACATACAGGAGACAAACCTTATAAATGTGATATCTGTGATAAGAGGTTTTGTACATCATTAGATCTAACAATGCATACCAGGACACATACAGGTGAAAAGCCATATAAATGTGATATCTGTGATCAAGTCTTTGCTCGAGCACATCATTTAACAGGGCATATAAGGACACATACCGGTGTAAAGCCTTATAAATGTAATATCTGTGATCAAGCCTTTTCTCTTTCACATCAGTTAACAAGGCACACAAGGACACATACCGGAGAAAAGCCTTATAAATGTGATGTCTGTCATCAAGCTTTTTCACAAGCACATACTTTGAAAATCCATACAATGTCACATACCGGCGAAAAGCCTTATAAATGTGATATCTGTGATAAGAGGTTTTGTACACCATTAGATTTAACAAGGCATACAAGGACACATACTGGTGTAAAACCGTATAAATGTGATATCTGTGATCAAGCCTTTTCTCAAGCACATCATTTAACAAGACATACAAGGACACATACTGGAGAAAAACCTTATAAATGTGATTTCTGTGATCAATCTTTTTCTCAAGCACATACTTTTAAAACCCATAAAAGAACACATACTAGTGTAAAGCCGTATAATTATGTTATCTGTGATTTAGCGTTTTCTGAAACAACAAATTAAAAAAAATCATACATGGATGCATAAAAAGTTTTTCAAAATGCAACATATTCACTATACATAAAAATGATATGCTAACTATACAAATTATTATATAATTTAAATAGCAATAATCTTTATTACCAATATATAACATAAGTACACTACAAAATTTAAAAATATTGATTCCTTATTGGTACTGCTATCCATTCCCCATCGCACTGTTTTCCCCGTAATATGTTATCTGGATCCATTGAATCTGAATTTTTAAACATTGATGTTGTGAATGTAGGATTTCATTAATGCCTCCAGATATTTTTATATTCAAGAATAAGGTATATTCTGTTAGTCAAGAAACAACCTACCGATTCTGCAACCGAAACAGGGTTCTATAATATAACCATAATCTTCCCGGACAAAAATTATTGATTTTACTTGGGTACATGATTATATTGATTATATAATAAATATTATATGATACACCTGTAACAAAATAAAATTCAAATTTAATTAGTATTATTTTGTTTGTATTATGGGTAGCTTATTGTATTTATATTATATTTATTATTGATGTTATCGTTACATTTTTATTTTATTTTAATATTTAAATGATCAATAATTGTTGTATTATTTTTTTAATATATTATTATTTATAATAATTATTATTATTATTGTATGATTTGAGAATATCATCTGTTTTATAAGCATGTACATTTTGTTTATAATTTGTCTATTTTTATTTTTTATGTTAATACTTAATTATAATATTTGAGTTATTATTTCTAAGAACATAAGTTTTTTAACTAAGTCAAATGAAAATATATTCTTAAATAAAGTTAAGATGAAATGGGTTGACAGCAACATGTTGAGGTAATGAGGTAAAAATTGGTTGGTTGTTTTTAGAGTACCTGACTGGCAGAATCGATAGGTCCCTGTGAACGCTTCTAAGGTGCATGCCTTGTGGCTTGTTTCATGTGTTCTTTCACACCCCAAGTATGCACTTTATTCAAACCCTCGTATTATGTTATGCCACAAGTTATGATATCTGGCGTATATAAATTCCACCAGGAAAAAAAACAGGTATAATTGGATTTATGTGAACTCTGCTGATGGAAAAAATCAGGTTAAATTGAGATTATGTAAACTCAGTCCGTGAAAAAAGTCACACAATAAATAATTGATATAATATAAAATTATTAAAAAAAAAAATTATTATTATTTTTACAATAATAATCGTTCTCATTAAATAATAGGGCTAAAATGTACTACACCAACTAACCTAACCTAACATTTTTTCAACGCGAAACTGTTTGATTTTTATTGTGGAAACTTTTATTTTGGAAGCTATAACTTTCCAAAGTGTGTGATCTTACGTAGTTACGTGTACTATAACTACGCATATTATGCGCTCAACACTGACTACTTACTTTATTGTTACGCTCGCCGTCTTCCTATAACAAATTTTAATTTACAGTTATTATTATCGTGCTCATGTTTGGTCCACGTCTAGGTTAGTAGTACCAATAAACTTTATTTTATACATAATATTATAGAAAATAATTAAAAATTTAAGTTGCATAAAATGTTTCTTATTTTGTATCTAATTATCATTATTTTTCGGAATTCGTAAGATGTTCCGGCGGCGTCGTCGGCACCCCAAGGCAAAAAAAAGGCTAAAGCCCCCCCCCCCCCTCACTATAAATTCATCACACTGCGCTTATATGGGCTCAACTTCAACTCATGGTTCTCTACAATTAATATATTATTTTAATATTTCCATTATACATTTAAAGTACCTATAGAGTTTATACTAAGATATATATATAATACTTCAAATATTTACGTGATGTGTAATTCGCATGGAAATCACACAAATAGCAACTAGAGGAATAACCTAGTAATACTTAAAGAATGTAAGGGTAGACATGGTAGTTACTAGTGTTACTACCTAGTTCGTATGAATTTCAATGTTGGTGCCAGGTATAGGAATCTGGACATTTTTTTTGCAATGGACCTAAAGACATTTTATGGTAGAGTACGTTTTTGCCTTTTGGTTGAAAACGGCAATGCTTGGTGTATAATATATAATATCATGGTGAACCGTATTCAATTGTTCCGTGGTCTTTGTTTATATTTATAACTTACCTATGTCGATAGATTTCTTACAATATTTTTACGATTTGCAATTCAAAACAATATTATGTGAAGACCAGTAATTATTGCATTTGTAAAAGGATTCCATTCATTCAATATATTTTCAAAAATATTGAATATCTAGTAATTTATCCCGAAGGATGGTGTAGTAAATATTCCATGTAATAATTTCTAAATATTATCAGTGTTGATATCATTTTCAAAAAATAATCTTAAATGTCAAAACATTTTAATATTTTATCATACCAGAGAACGAAACGAGAAGAATGATTTTTAAATATTTTTAATTGATCTTTTCTTTGACACGATTAAAACGTTTTAAATAAATATCTTAAAATGTTTAATTGTTTGGTTTTAATTGTACATTAATTGTTTATTTATGCATGGACATTTTCAATTTTTATAGCTATCTAGCTAGGTAAGTCTTAGAAAATTTATACAAGGATTTTCATACGTAGTTCATTTGTACTAATTCTAAGAAATAAATAGTGATACATGAAGACCTGACAAATGTAAGAACTTCAGTTTTAATCAATATTTAAAAAAATTTTTTATACTACTTTGACACACGCGTTACATGTATAATATAACATTATTTATTTTTATTATTGAACCCTGGAGTTAAACATTTTGAAATCTGTCATTAATTTATATCAAAAAATTAAAAAATAGCCAATTTGTAAATCTCCTGTATACCTATGAATAATATTGATTGTAAAAACATTTATTTAAGTCATGAAGTTATTTATTTTTTATTTTTTTAAATGTCATATATTTTGTCAAATGTATTTTACTTGACCCACTAATTACTCCACACTAGAACTTATACAGTATGGCTTTAAAAATCAACTGACGTTAAGTAGGTAAAAATTACCTAGTTTTATATTAGTATTACCTATTATATTATACCTACTAGGTAAACACTGTACGTATTATATAATAATAATATATAACATAATTATTTGAATCATCTTAAATTTGTCCCATCTCCCATGGTTTGTGATTAGAACTTTTATTTACATATTTCTGAATGTTATGATTTATAATTCAAAGTACTTCATCTGTGAAAACATATATTTAGGAATTATACTAATTTTGAACGAGATTACCAATTTTTTATTCACGTATTATGACGATGTTCTGATTAGTAAATGTATAGTTTAATATATGTTTACTATTTGAGAAATATTTTATACAATGTTCTGTACTGATTAATTGTACTAGGTAATAATTAAAATATTTAGGATTTATAATAAAATAATTGTAGAAAGTATTTATATAAGCTAAGATGAGGAACCAGATACTTTTTTATAGGAACGAGGAGTTAAACGAGTTAATTTTTATACTAAATTAACGGAGAATTGAGAGAATTGAACTAGTTCCTTTTAATATTAAATGAACAAAGAACTGAACAAATTCCTATTTATACTCAACAAACGAGGAAAAAACACTTATCAATTGCATTATCATCACAAAACTCATAAACAGTTAATTATTATAATATTTGTAAGACAGTAACAGACAAATAAAAATTTACCATTAAATTTTTAGTTTCGAAATAAAAAACGTCATAATATACGAATATAATATCATACTGTAAATAGAAATTATTGCAATATTTAAAAAGCTTGAATTTCATAATGAGTAAAATTATTATTACAGTAGTTAATCTAAATTTGTGAATGTTTAATATTTTATATTATGTGTGTTTATGGCTACATATTTATTTTAACTAGCAATACAAAATAATTATGTTCCCGTCCAAAACCTGTGCCTTCTTATTTAATCAAAGTTTCTTAGTATACGAGTATATTATACAATATTATTTAACTTTAATATAAGCAACAAGTGACCAGACTTGGGGCCTGGGGGCCTTCATGCGTTCAGTCCACGATCTTCATAATTAATGTAAATGTATTATCATTATCAATTTACCCTAGGAGAAGGACGATAAGCAACAACTAAACGTGTGCCTATAAGTAATTCACGAATTAATTTGCGATTTAAGTCACTCGGAATGCCACTAATTTACGAGTACTATCCTAATTATTTTCTAACGCGTCGAAAGCGAGCATAGAAACAATTAATGCATGAACGAATGTAGTATAAACTAATAATTATTTCTATAAAAATATAAAACGTATTTCAACAGAACTGACGTGACTTGTAAAAACAGTGGTCGATATCAACAAAAATAATACCTTTGAAAATGTTATGAAAACACAGATAGATTGAAACAATATATCAAAACATTTGACATTTAAAAATTGGAATATTTCCGCTAAACCAGTTTTTTACAAAATTGATTTTGGTTTTTGTAGTACCTAATTCAAAATGAATAACCATAGATTGGGACTTGAAATATTCATTACATTTTTGAGTTAGCATATTTTATTGAAATGACATAATTTTAAAACTATTTTGTATTTGTATTGTATTATTTAATATTTGTTTAATGATATATGATAGCAGTACATTTTTGATTGAAAAATTAGTGAAATTCATAGAAAGTTAGGTAAGTGTGAATCCACATAGTCTTTTTTATTGAGTATTTGGATTAACAATTATTACAACATCGGATTATCGGACGTAAAATATCGATTTGTCCTCAAACAATTTTTGTAATTTGTCAGTATTCAAAAAATATTAGAGGTAGAAACATGGAAAATTCCATTACCAAGTATAATTTAATCGAATTATGATTTTTTAAACACATTAAAATATTTAAAATATTTGGACCGATTTTAATTTGGTGTTAGACACACAATTTTTGTTTTCCTAATATCAATTAGTTGACCGGCATTAACATGAATTGTCTCATGTGATAAGTCGGATAGTCTTACTCAGTACCTACTCGGAGAGACTCATTAATTTTGACAACTTGTAATTTCTAACTAACTAATTTAACTAACCAAACGCATGTAATAAGAAATTTAGTTAATTTTATTATTTTGAAATTGTTGTGTATTATCTTAAAGTCAAAGATTTAATTCTAGTATTCTAAATGATATCTACCTATTATACCATAAGCTACCAACTGGATTGTATATTAATATATTATAAGGTAAGTAGGTAACATAAATACAATCAAATAATATCGACATAAAACATTTAACATACATAGTAGGTATGAATAACAATAACAATACAGGTATTTTCAAAGTTAAAATAAATATCTAATTTAAAAACAAACAAAATTACTATGGGTGGACTTCAGCAAGTATACTTATACTGAAGGACAAAATATAAACGTGAATGTTAATTGAGTTTTTCGGTCACCCTGCCGATAGCATATAATATAGGTGCAGGAACCCACCTCACTTATCTTAAACTTGCATATGTGAATTTTGACATCGTAAATAAAAAGAAAACCCAGACAACCTCGAAAATAATATTAACATTAATTACCTACCAATAAACTAGTTTCGTCAATCATAATAGTTGTGCTCTTATATGTTCAATGTAATTAGAAATGAAGACCACAGCGACAGTAGTTTGGATTTAAATTAAACTGTAATAAAAAATTGTGTTGTTTACTAACATTTAAATTTTATTTTATTGCGACTTGATAATTTTTATATGATAGTAAATTATATAAACATATTATTACACAAAAGTCAAACTGATACATAGCTAAATAGGATTATGGAAATCTAAACGTATAAAGCCTATATCCGACACTGTCGTCGCGTTATTTATTGGAGTTCAACAATGGAGAGAGTTACAATTTTATTAGTCCTGCTTGTCAGCTTATTATTGTGTGACTGTGACAATTTTCAAAATGAAAGTAACGAACCCAGCGCATGTAAATAAACAATTTAATGTACAATTTTTTCTATGTCGATAATATATTGGTTATAATTTTGTAATAATATTAGTTTCTTAATGCTACAGATACTTACGGTACGCCAAGAAAACGTGCCAAAAATTACATAGTAAAAATCAACAATATCCAAGGCGAAGAGACACGAGATTTTACAATGAGCGATGAGCCATTATTAGGTTCATATCCTTCTAAGATACCGTAAATCAAAATATAAATAAAATAATAACTATACCTATACCTACCCTATTTAAAAAATATAATATGTTGTATTGCCTGTTTTATTATAATTTATATCATTAGATATCATAATATACATGATGGTGTAACAGAAAGATATGACATATCTGATATCTATGATATTTGTCGTATCTTTATGTTACAAATTGTATAGGTATTATGTAATTTATTAGTTTATAAACTGATATAATTATTATTATAGGTCTTTAATGGATCAGTCAAAGTCCACTGGATTTCTGCAGCCACAAGAAATCAGTCTCGCTGATCAATGTTTTCTTAGGCCGCACTGTGATTTTTTTAACAAGTACAGAACCATGGATGGTAGTTGTAATAATATACTTTACCCAACTTGGGGACAAACTAACACGGCAAACACACGAATTATTCAGGCTAATTATTCAGATGGTATATATTTTATTGAATAATATTTTATATTTTATATTTAATTGTTTTTATATTATTATTATAACGAAATTATTTGATCACAGGTTATTCCCATCTAAGAAAGTCGGTATCTGGTAGCGAATTACCAGAAGTCCGAAAAATACGTAAAACCATATTTAAAGATATTGACAAATCTTCGGCAAAACATAGTTTATTTGTCATGCAATATGCTCAAATCATTAACCATGATACTGCACGCACATTAGACAAAGAAACAGGTGAGCATTTCTAAAAAAAACCAATATTTTTTATCATGCAGAATGTTAAACAATTTATGAAAAATGTTTTGTCTACATCTATTTGAAATAATAATTGCTCAAAATGGCGATGGTCATAACACTGCTGTGACTCAAAACATAATGGATATTTTTAAAACATTGATTGCTTAATGCTAAGTTATTATTACAACTTAAAAAATATTATGTTATAATATTTAAATGTATAAGTTATATTTTACACTGTGTGATAAAATATGTAATTAAAGTGAAAACTACTGTATTATAGTGTATTAAATTAAAATAAAGAGAGTAAAAATCAACTCCCCGATTTTGCACAAACTTCACTAATTTCTTGTTGCCTTTATAAGTTATCAGGTACCATTTAAAAATTAAAAATACGGTCATACTAAAATATAATTTCTATCAGATTTAAATTGTATGTACAATAAGGAAAATAGAAAACTTCATAGTAAGATTTGTATGCCAAAATTCAGTTTACTAACAAATTTAAAATCTAGACCTAATAATATAAACATTAGGTAAGCACCTAATTAATAAATAATAATACGTGTTTATCTTTTGCAATTGACACGGTATTCACTATTTTGTAAGTTTTAATAAAGTATGAAATTAATTAAAACCGGTAATGATCAATATTATCTAGTATCTACCCACATTATGTGTGATTTAAAAAAAAAAAATTATTAAAAGTATACAAAGTATTATTTTTATTAGTCTAAGTATTTAAATTTATCCGTGAAATTATGTTTTTTATACTTGAACGGTAGAATATATCAGTTAAAAATCAAAATTGTAGATTATTTGTAATCAATAAAATTATTTCAAACTTATTTCATATTTGAAAAATCTAAACGATATAAATATATAAAAGGATCTTATGGCCCAGTGAAGTGTTGTAATGATGATGGTTCAACATTGGAAATTCTACCAAAAGAATGCCTTCAGATTAGAATCCCACACGATGAACCAGAATCTAAATACCGATGCTTATCAGTTCCCAGATCACTTGACACATCGGATAAGGGTTGTAACATGAAACCAGTCAGACAAGTAAGTTTTTAATCTTCACGTGTATAGGTACATTTGATTAGAATATATGAGACTCATTTTCATCAGTTATCTACTTAATAATAACGAAATTAAAAGACAAAAAAAAAATTTGCAATCATTGATGGATTTTTTTTGTTTTCACTTTTATTTTAGATATTCGGAGTCTCCAGTTTTCTCGACGCATCGGTATTATACGGAACTGACTATGAAACATCGCGTTCTATAAGAACATTAAAATATGGAAAGCTCAGACGGCAGTTGGGACCTAATGGAAAATCGTTCTTACCCAATGTAAAAAAAGCAACGGAACTCTGCAACGTAACTAAAGATAACACAGTGTGCTACCTTTCAGGTAATTATAATAATATTATATTATTATAAACAATTACAATAGGTACTAATTATTAGATATGATTTAAAGTAATTTCAAAAAAAATTCTTAGGTCAGTTAGGATCTATTACAAATCACATGTTTTAAAACATTCTTTCGTTTAAGCCATGTTTAATAATAATTAATTCCCATCTGCGAAGCATGCGGTGTGGAGTTCACTGTCAAACATATAATTATTGATTGTTCCAAGTACGCAGACTCAAGATCCAAACAATCCATTCCATATCAACTTAGTGAAGCTCTACAACCAGACCTCCAAACAAATATTAACATAGTCAACTTCTTAAAGGAAACCAAACTGTACAACCTAATCTAAGAATTTTTATACAAAATGTAAAATATTAAAAATTAAAAAAAAAAAAAATAATAATGTACTACTATAACTAATGGCCTCGTAGCCGATGTTTCTTTTTGTTCAATAAAAAAAAAAAAATAATAATAATTAACATTATCTATGATTTTGCAAGTAAAATATCATAATATATTATTGTGTATTTGTGTTTATCAGTTGACCCAACAATTAACGGAGCTCCACAAATGGCAGTTGTTATAACTTCATTATTGAGATTACATAACTATTTATGCGATGAGCTTATTTACTTGAATCCAAATTGGGATGATGAGCGAATATACCAAGAAGCCAGGAGAATACTCATAGCAATGCACCAACATATTACATACAATGAATTTGTTCCAATACTTTTAGGTTGGTTACGTAATCAGAAAATTTAATAATTTTGCGCAAGTGAGATTCAAGGTATTACTATTCTAAGTACAAAATCGTATTTTATTCTTGCTTATTATATTAGAGTACTTGTATACTGCAGTACATTATGTTGTGTGAGGTTCAATTTACATTTAAGTGATTACTAAGGTATGCATTAAAAAACCAAAAAAAATATCAATATTAAAATTATTTGAAAAGTTCATTAGCAGTCCATTTAAAAGATAATAGTGTTGCTTTACAACATAGGCAAGCTGGGATGTGCCATAAAAAGTTATTTTAAAAATTTACAATTTATATATTTAATACTATTATTGATTGCTGCAGGAAGAGATTTTGCCAGAGAAAACTATTTACTACCGATGACTGATGGATTTGACGATAGTTACGATCAATATTTAAATCCGACCACAACAACTAGTTTTACAGCTGCTGCATACAGATCAGTGCATAGCTCCATTCGTGGATTTATTGAGTAGGTATATAAAACATAACTGCACAGACAGCAATTTTGTAGTTTTTCCTAGTCCATCGTAATCATATTCCATAATTTGAATTTTATTACAGAATGGTGAGTGAAGCCCGAAATATAACATCGAGAATACGGTTAAAAGATTTCTTTTTTAAACCCGACATAATACAAAGACAAGGTAATTATGATAGCTTCACTAGAGGATTACTTAAGCAACATGTACAAGAAATAGATCAATATTTTACAGAAGAGGTACCTATATACAATATTTAGAATTCAAACACAAAACTTTATAACATGAAATAGCTGCTTTAATTTCCTACCATGCTAACTTTTTATTACATATTTTGTTTAGATAAGTGAGTTCGCAATCAGATTTCCGGAAAGACACCGAAGAGTTGACTTGGTCAGCATAGACATGGCCCGCGGTAGAGATTACGGAGAGCCGCCTTATAATAAATTTAGGAAACTCTGCGGATTGAAAGAGGCAAAGAATTTTGACAGCTTGATTGATCAAATGGATAAAAAAGTAAAAACTACAGATATTTTGCATACCATTTACAAATATGACCTAACCCATGATGGTTAATGTATTAATTATTATTTATTGAAAAACCTACCTAACGAAGCATATCGAGGCCTTATCGAAAATGTACGAACACGTGGACGATATCGACTATTACGTGGCAGGTCTCTTGGAAAAATCAAAACCCGGATCTCTGTTGGGTCATACGTTCCAATGTGTTGTCGGAGAGATGTTTTTCAGATTCAAGTATGGCGATCGATATTATTACGAATTCGGGAACCAGATTGGTTCTTTTAAATTAGGTAACCTATACTACTATCATATTATAATACGACAATACGTTTAAACAATTATTGCACAGTTAGGGAACGGATGTTATTGTAAATACATACTTTTATTGTAATGAAAATTTGTGTCGTTTTTTAAAATCAGTTTAAAGTTAATTAAATAATAAGGTATCTAGGTACTTAAAAGAATTAAACCCTGCAGAGCCTAGATATTTTAACGAGATGAGGTACGTGGTTAGAAGTTACTCAATATTGTTATGAACATTTAGAAAAAGTTAAAACAATTATTTCAAATCTAGAAACTACCACCGCTATAATAAATAAAGCAAAGAATTTAATGGAAAATGTTCGTTTAAAAAATAATTTAACTTGCATTGCTGCGAATTTTAGTTTTTTTAATACATACTATAAAACAACTGAAAACCTGAAATAAAATGCCTTTATCAGAAAGCTTATGCATTGTTGAAGCTTGAAGAAGCACACAATAAATTAGAAACAGCACAAGGGCACATAGGTTATTTATTTAAAGATCAATTTGCATAGTATGAAAAATCATGGACTAAAACAGAACTAAATCACCCAGAATCACTGGCGTTGAAATCACTCCACTTTATGTGGCCTATATGCGAAGTATGTCCCATTACATCAATCAATTTAAAACTTTCATCAGTGAGTACAAAAACATTTTGCGATCAAGTCGTCTCGAAATTTTGTTACATATATTAATAAAAATAAGTACATGTAATGATTTTTTTATTGCTATTAAGTTCGTTTCCTAGATATGATTCAATATTATATGCTAGGTGCTCGCTATATTCACTGACCATTTTTATAGTAACCATAAGTACCTATTGTTTTATAATAATATATTATCTGTTGAACAGAACAACTCAATGAAATAAGAAAAACGTCATTAGCACTCCTTGTGTGTTTAACATCAGACATTTATTCTGTACAGCGCAATACGTTCGAAATACCCAGCAGTCGGTGAGTACCTCCTACTCCACAACAGTTATTTTGTAATTTTAGTCAAACTGTTTTCGTATAAGTAGTAGGTACTATATTTAATATTATATTAATATTGAACGGATAAATAGAAACATTGTTATTTTTAAATTTAAATTTTATGAACGGTGAAGTAATAAATTGTATGTTGAACTAGTAAGTGCTTATTGGAGAACCATGTCAAGGCAATTATTAATTTACAGAAACAAAAAAATATGTGAAAAGAAAAATTAATTTGAAATAATATCGGTTTAATAATTTTTCAGTAATCCATTGGTACCTTGCAACTCTATACCAAAACTCGATTTGTCTGCCTGGAAGGAAGATTAAAATTAGAACCCCGCAATGTTTGGACTACATGCATGTACGATATATACTTTCTAAATATTATACTCCTTTCGAGTCAGGAAAGGTCAACTTTGTAACTTTTAATTGGAAAATGTATGTAATTTATTCAGATTTTTGTCCAAATAAATTATTAAAAAAATACTTACCCCTGTTGTTGACTATTAAGGGAAAATATTTTAATAGATCTTAATGCGTTATGAATACATCTAATTTGTATGGGTACTCGTTGTTAAATATAACAAGTCAGTTGAAATAACTAAAATAATAATAAAAAAAAAAATATCTTGCCCATCGTTAAAATTTGAAACAATGTATCAACGACATTTACAAAAGCTAGTAAGCCAATTTTATAAAAACTAAAAATATTATTCAAAAATAAAATTGACAATTTATGTTTTGACTAATATGGTGTTCTAACATACCAATTTATTCGATGATTTGCCATTTTGCATATTATAACATCATGAATATTATTTTCAACAGTTTATATAATTTTTCGTATTTAATAAGCAGATAAAAATAATTCTTAAATAATTAGTTGAAAGTATAAACGAGCAATATTATATTGTTTTCAGTCGATATAGGTACTCTTATATTAAACACCTTGTTATAGGTACCTACGTTTGTTTTTCGGTCACAATTAAGATGTCTTCGTATCTCTTTTCAACTAGGTCTTACCTCCCCACTTTCAATGCTATAAGTTAGTAGGTATTAAAAGTTGAATAATTCTGTTTTACTGTGCTACAATTGGCTTAAAAATAAGTTTACTTTCCTCCACGGTCCCAAAAAAAACTTCTATGAGTTCTCATGGAAGATTAAACGCATCACTTATAATTGAATCTGATTTCCATCGAAGTAAATACATTTTTGTGGCCTTGGTATTAGCTCTTGTTCACCATCGTCGTTGTGAGACACATTAACACATGTAAGATGGTCAGTTATTATATCGAGCCCGGCCCATCGATGCCATCCAGCCATTCTAAATAGTAAATACGTTATAATATTATCTCCTTAAATCAAACAAATCGTTCAATAATTCAAATATGTTTTCAAAATTATTATGGGAGTAATATGTGCAATAATAATATGTTGCATCATAAAAATGGAGCCCCAAAAATGCATAACAATTCATCAATTGAGAACGGTTGGGCCGATTTAGCTTAATTTTCTTTTTAATTGTTCGTAATTGTCAGGAGAAGGTTTTTACGAAAAACAATTTTGGAAAAACCCTTTTAAAAAAAAATTTTTTTTGATGATTTATTTTTTGAGTTCCGGAATGTTTTTTTGAGTTGAAAAAGCTACAGCAAGCTTTAGCTTATAAAATTGTCCATATGACATAATTAATCGTTAAAATGGGGCCCCCGGCCAACACCAAAAAAATGGATCAACATGGAGAAATATGTCGTGTACTGAATATCCCAGATAGCAAAAGCGTAATGATAATAATATTAAAATATTATGAATTCATCATATCGGAAATAATAAAATTAAAATAATATTGTTTTATTTTATTAGCATTATATGTGTTATGATATTGTAGTATCGAAAAAAAAATCATACTATATTATTAACTAATTACGAAAATATTATTATCAATATAATAATATAGTAGGTATTGCTTTATTTAAAATACATTTATAATATATTTTCAAAGTAACATCAAATTAATACTATACTATTATTAGTTAATTACGAAAATATTATTATTATTAAAACAATATTATATTGTTTTCTTTGGAATACATTTATAATATTATTTCAAAGAAAGAACTAAATTATTACTACATTATTGTTACTAACCTATGGATATATTATTATTAATAAAACAATATAGTATCGTTTTATTTACAATACAGCTTATAATAATATAAATAAATAATAATATAATATATTATATACCTATATTATATTTATACACAGATAGCTTTTAATTATAATTGTGTAGGTTTAATTATTATTAGGTATAATATATTATATATATATAGTATATACATTATAATGTTCACGTATATAAATAATTCATGGTCTTAAGATTATATTTTTATCAATAATTTTTGGATACATATTAATATATTATTATATTATAAAAGTATTATTATTATATATATTGGTTATAGGAGAAATACAAATTTATTTAGTAGAAATTGATATTTTTATTTGTTAACGGTTGCCAGTGGTTTTTAATCGGGTAAATCAGGCAAATCATAATATATTGCTCGCATTATAACAAGCGAATCTCATGTATAGATCTGGCATTTTCAACGGACAACCAAGTGCATGGGATCAGCTATAATAGTTGAATAGTTGAATATAATATCGCATGATACACCCACAGATATATATTTTGACTGCTTATTTGTCCGGAAAAGGCATCGAAACGAATGAATAGACTTTGGCAGGGTAGTTTTTATAGAAATTATATTATCTATTTGTTTGAATTTGTCCCGTACTCCCGTGTAATGCTGTGAAAGATTAGCTAGTATTAAACATAAATTATAGTTAATATTTAAGAACTTACTTTTAACAACTAGTAAATATTTCAGTTCTAATAATCCACCGTGACAGGTTGTCCAATCAGTATGTTCAATAAGTTGTGTAAGTACATGAATTCAAACATTTTCTTCTTCACTACAATTTTATTTTATATGTAGTATTCCAGCTTTTTAATGAATTTATTTTTATATTATTCTAAATAACAATATACATGTTTTTTACACTGCTGTTTTATTGTTTTATAATAACCCAACCTATAAAAAATAGTATTTTTATGGTAGGTATAATATTTAATGTTTATGTTTCATTATTAGGCATATTTTAGATAATTTATACTGGGGTTTTGCTTTAAGTTGTTTGCACAAGTACCAGTTTTTCCCACCAGAAAAGACAAATATTTGTTTTAGAAGAAAGTTTTTGGATGAAATGTCAGTGTCATATTGCCAAGATCGAGATTATTACAATCGTTGGCTATAGACCTATAGTTACCCAAAACTTGTTGAAGTTAAACCTACAAGTATATATATCATGATTTATGTGTGCCCTTTGTAACTATTGATGTTCAGTTTATTTGGTTTTCCCAACGAAAATTAATATTTAAAAATAGTAATTCATTTTTTAATCAATATTTTAACATTAAATTTTTTATATTTGTTTGGTTTTTTTCTAAATAAATAATTTATTATTGTTGTTTTAAAATAATTCTTGTCTACTAAAATCATAATAATTGTAGGATCTCGCTTCAACTTTGATAACTGTGCCCGTTTTAGGTGTTTGAAGAGTAACAAAGTGATTCTTTGAAGAGAAAAACCTTAATAGTAAGTCATTATTCTAAAAAACATAACGATTCACTTGTAAGAAAGTGTTGTAAATATTATGACTTTTGTAACAGAGATCTTAAGCTTACTGGTAGAATTTGTTATTTTATTTTCTGAAATAATATTTTTTTCCACCTATTATAACCTAACCTAAGTAGTGTGTACTTATTATACTTAATGTATTTTCGCAAAATAAATATGTTAAACAAACACCTAGGTAATTGGTTAAAATTAATTTGCTATTTTTTTTAGTTGTTTTTTTTTTTAAGAAGAAAATAAATAATTTATTATTTTGTTTTAATATTTTATGTACCAATGTACCATACATTATTATAATTCATATAATTCATACATGAATGATGAGTTAATACAGATGATTTGTTGAATGATCCTAAAAATTAGTGATTGGGCACATGGGAACTATAGCTTATAATAGCTGGTCCAGTAGGTGTTGTATGACTTTATAGTCATGCTTATAATGAATAATCAAAAACATATGTATTAATGTATTATAAATTGTGAACCACCAAAAGGATTTTCGAGGATTAATTTTTCTTATACGGCTGTCATCCTACCTTTATTACCATTTTCAAGTAAAACAATTTTAATAAAAAACAAAAAATACTTTTAAAATGATAAAATTTTTGAAGTTTGGTTGATCAAAAATCTCCAATGTTTATATTTACATAGGTACTTCCGATTTTTGTGCCAATGCCTTTTAAAATGCAAAATTATAGTATACAAATAAAATTTTCTTCTGATGAAATGTACCCAACTAACTAGTAACTGATGTTGGATTTTGAAAAAATGTACAAATCAAGAATTAAGAGGCCCGTCTTCTGTGGACAATCAAAATAGTGAAGAACCCAGAATACCACAAGAAAACTAAATATATTGATGTTCACTATCATTAAATTAATTGTGAGAAGTTCTATGAAGAGATGATTTCACTAGAATATGTGACCAGCAAGGAGCAGTTAGCTGACATCCTGAATCCTGATCAAGCCAACTGCACGGATTAGGTTCCAGAAGCCAAGTTAAATGTTAGGGGTTAGATATATACTTAATTATATACAATTTGTAAGGTTATATTGTTTGAGGGGAAGTGTTGAAATAGTGTAAACAATACATCTGGTACATTAAGTTTAAGTATACTTATATTAGTTTTTACATACGTTGTAATTTAAGTTTATAAGTATACATTAATATAGTAAGCAATTAATGCTTAGATGGCAGTGCCATGACACAATCTGATTACGGGCTTGGCTTTACAAAGTCTAGACACAGACATAATAAAATATGAATACAATAATATTTATGTAGTCAGTTGAGTTATCCTTTATACTTTAGTACACATATTTTTGATGTTTATTAGATTCAATACATTTTCCTATTACAACTTCTATTGTATTCTTATTTACTAACCTATTCTTCTTAACATTTAAAATTGAGTATTGACTTAAAGGTTATAAATTAATATAGTAAAATATTATTATATTAATATAATAATGATTATCTATATAATTGATGTGCTATTTTTGATAAAAATTAGTTGACCACATCAATATATCATGTTACTAATAGATGTATACATTTTTTTTTATAGCAGTATATAATATTTCAATATTTAGCTTATAAAATAACAAGTTAATAGAGACTGGCATACTGTCTTGGCTCGAAATCAGTTGTCTGGCATTTTGATTTTTCATTGAATTCATATTCACTTATTCATTACTATGAAATACTCGTCAACAAGGTTCACTCAAAATTAAATGCTTGATAAATATGCAAGAAATGGGCGTATGGACCATGGACATTTTACAATTTTTA